AGACTGACTTGTGACTGTAAAACGAAAGGCATTTTATTGACCAAACCAAGTTAACTCTAACTTAGAGCGATAATAATGCGACCTAAAAGGATTCCGTGCTGATGATGATCTATGGAATGAGCTCAGGGGACTCAGGTTAGCACATCTCAAAACAATCTCATCCCGAAAGGGTAAGGTTCCTTGTTAGATGGGGTTATTAAGGAATGCTCTATCGTCACCATTTGTTTCCCAAGTTGACAGTAAATTGGCAAAAAACTTTGCATTGAATCACAAAGTTTATATGCAAATGTGAAGCAATCTGGCTGACATTCGCTTCCTATTATTGTGGGCGTTCCGACCCACAGGCCGGTGCCTTCTGTATTATTCCTGTTTTCAGTCCGCAAAATATTTCTTATGCACTTAGAAGTTCACCTTTTGTATGCCTCCATAAATCAAGTTGACTAATTATGCCAACAAACAATGTGGTTTTCATATATACGAGGGATGAATAGGCAGAATGACGCTTAGGGTAATTTGCTTTTTTCCAAAAATTTATTTTATGTTAATACTAATACCTGCAGCACTGACAATTGCTGAAATTTGTCATCGACTCGGCGTTAAGTAAAAGTGCATTATACGCGACTGCTCAAGCCGTAGTTTATGCGTGCGACTACGCCCCTTGTAGGAAGTGATCAATAGCTCTGGATGGCGAGTCGTAGCCTGCAGAAGTGGCGGTTCCTGGCGATACTGCCGAACATCCTGGACGAACTGGTCCGTCTTCTTTCACACATTCACCCAGTGAAAAGCCACACATGGCAAACCTGCACTGGAACTGCTCTAGGTCATTTCTAGCTATAAATCAAGCAACTATAGCGGAAACAAATTTCGTGTGCATGCCGATACCACAGATGTTTGCGTTGGTCGAATCCGCCATCTGTCGCCTCGTGAGAGGCGTGTAACCATTCTCCTTTTGTAGCCAGAGTCGACCCACACCAATTGATTTTAAAATGCGACGAATACCGGGATAGTATTTGAACATCTGTAGAAAAGGCATGAACCAGAGAAGAATGAAATATTTCCCAAAGCACTTTCTGTATCAAAACCTGAAGATTATTTTTTAGGATTCTACTCATATTTGCTGAATTAGAGGTTTCACATCGATAAAATATCAGTGAGTTCCTGAAACCATGACACTTAAGGGAAAAAACAGATAAAGGCAGCACAACGCGCCTAAGAATGAGATGGTTTTTTGGCTCTATGTCATTAAGGTATGCACAAATGTACACACAAACGTGAACTTGCACCAGTTCAGTACACACATAAATCTTCAACGGCAAATTCGTGTGTGTGCGAAGATTACAAGCTTTGTGAGAGACGAAGTGAACGAGAAAGTTCATTCCATGAAATGCATTCTGGCGCATGACGTAAATCTCCAGTTCTGGGGACATGCAAATATTAACAGTCTTAGTGACAGTAAAGAGGGCAAACATATCAATGCACAATGTCCACGCGTGTGACTTGAAACGAAAATAAAATAATCAAACTTGGGAGCATTCCACTCATTTTTAATCAGAAATATCCTCAAACTTTCGAAAGAACATTTCACGTTAGAGAACTGGTTACCACACCGAGACATTATTCCTCCACAGATATGTCAGAGTAGTTGTTTTTTAGGATGTGGAAATTTACATTGAATTGCTAGAGAGAGGGCGAACTTTGCTGTTCCTCTATGTGAAGGTCATGGGGGTGTGGAGGAAAAGGATTAGGCTAATCTCTTTTAGTCCATCAGAATTAACAGTACGCTGTTCGAAATTATTCTGTAGTATAACAATTTCATACCAGTAATTGGTTTCTTATCAATTCCGAAGAAGGCAGTGACGTTACAAATCGATTTCTATTGATCGGTTCGGATGAGCGCCGGCTAAATTCGTCACACAATGGCAGATGGCGATTGTACGCTTGGACAGGGACATTTTGGTGCCGCCAAGGAAGAAGAGGAAATGACCAAATATAAAGAAGCGGATGCGTGGATGCATAATTTGGAACTCCTAACGACACAAAATTATGGTTTAATTATTTATCCGGCCGAGGCCCCACCTCCCAAACATAACTCACTGGGGCTTGTATATCTGATCACGCAGGGTGGGAGGGGCAGTTGTTTTAGCAGCGCAAAAAGAGTTATCAATGCAATAAAACGACGGCAACGCGCTAAAGGTGGGGCCGGGCACGTTGCGGCAAGAGACGCATTAACACCGCGGCAGTCACACACACACACACACACACATCAAAGCATGGCGCTCCAACGACGTTTTCACGACCTCGCAAGCCGGCTTGACTAATATCTCATTACCGCACAACTAGAGGAGGTGGTTTCTGTCCATACCCCTCCACATGATCTGCTTCGGCTCCAGCTGAAACCATAAAAGCCACTTGATATCTTCCCATTAAGCAAATATGGTGGACGTTTAATAATTACTCAGTGTTCGTCGTCGTTCCCCTATTTTATACAAGTTAAAATTTGGGTTGTCGCATATGCGCTCCTTTGCAGGAAGCGCATGAGAGGCGCTGCGATGACTACCTAATTGCAATTCATGCTAGTCTTAACAACTTCCCTCAGTCTCTGTTTTACGGCTGAACTGTTACGTTTGCCATTTAAATGCGTTTCCGACGCTTGTGAAATGGAGAAATTAAAAGCACGAATGCGTCATCCCATGGCGTAAAACAATGGAGTAAAATTATTTCACGTGTGCATCAGTGAAGCTAAATCGGGTAGACTACGTACAAATTGCTCTATAATAAATCCTTCTGGATGGGCTAACTTCAAGCAACTCCACAACTTTGCATTCTTCATAATAACAAATTAACCGGCAGCATCTTTGCGTCTTCCCAGCTCCTAAAACCCAACAGTAACAAGGAGGCCCAGAATCATTGTGAAATAAGACAAACTTTGGTGTGAAAATGGTCAGATCTTGGCACAACAAGGTATTACAATTTTCCTTCGCTCAACCACACTTAGACGCTAAATACAAACTTTCAGGACTTACTGTAGTCCTGAATATTGAGGGGACCATTCCCTCGTTTTCGCGGGGAAAAGTTCATCTTATGTCATGGTAATCCAGAGTCACCGGACCAAGAACCAGGTGACAGTCTCCGTTCGATGAATTTTGGCTTTTAGCAAACGTGTGCCAAGGGTGCTCAGGTGCAACTGAACCCTAATGACACTAAAAAGCACAAAAAATTGGAGCAAAATTGCATGACACTGTGTCTCACAAAATGCGCTTAAATGCAGAGCATAACTGGCAACGTAGATACGACACAGTTTAATGGCAGTAAGTACTGTTTTGTTTATTTGTAATTTTTAACAATGGTGAAAGTACGGTTGCATTTGGGCCACCTTGGATACGTATGGACTAGTTTTGAAAAGGTTGAATGCACTGCGACATAAAGTTCCGAGTGTGTAGGCTCTATTGAGTAGTTTATTTACGATACTGAGTAGGATGCACTATTGGTCGTCATTACAGAAGGGATAAAGGTGGATTTTATCCTAACACCCGGACAAGCGAACTCCCCAGAGTTATTTAGGTTATAACTTAACTCAGACCACTTCAATCAATACTGTGCTGCCATTTTTTTCCCTTTTTGTCACTTTAAGCGTTCACATTCAACAACTGCTTCACCCCAAAGACACGTTTTTAAAATGAATTCTTAAAAGTACGAAACTACTCAGTAGAAATAGGTAGGCCGTGCTCAAGCCCATCCAGGGCCCGATGGGGCGAACCGGCTCAACGTCTACTTAGAGGACTGTTTAATTAAATTTACTCGTGATTTAAGGTCCCAACGGCTCAGGATTTAGACGGCGACATCGAATGGTGTGAAGGACGCCCCAAGTTTGCAAGCCAAGTTCTAGTAAGCACAGCTGGACCTCATTTGAGACAAAGTGAGCCAAACCAAATTCCAACAAATATTTTCATGCTATACACAACGTGATCTCCATTATAGACAACTAACTTTGCATTATCACATCCACTTGTCTAATGGCTTAGGTGAATAAGAGCTTAAGACAACCGTCTGGTCTGAGTATCTGGAGGCTTCTTAAGGGGTAGAATCTGGATTAGGATGGGTAACTAATTAAAAAATTATTCTCACTGACAAATAAGTAGATAATTTAATCATAGTGGTTTGATTACGAGGAAGGCAAAAGTTTATGTTGAATTTTTACAATAAAATTAGTCAGACCAGCCCAGAGGCGTATTCTAGCTTGCCTTATTAGAATTTGACGATACAAAGTTCAGACCTTTTGTAAATAAAGTGCTACACAGCGAATAAATACTACTAACAGCAAATAGTAAATAAAAAAATAAGTAAGGTGCTTCTATCCAACAGTTATATTTTGGAGATTAAAACGTACAAAATAAATCTGTTGAGCATTGTTAAGTGTAGGACGAAACCCACGAGCAATCCCTAGAATAAACAACGATTGAAGGCAAGCGTTGAAATTTTTGGAGTTGACAATCAGCTGTGAAGTTGGGCGTTGTCCTTGGAGCCTACGCTCGGCTCTGGGTTGACCTACCCCGATGGCAGTTTGATTTCGAAGCCACAGAAGACAAGAATTCAAGCTGCTATTGTCACTAAGCTTGTTTCAGTTGGGTATTGAAAGAGCAGTGTCCATGTTACCTCATCCGGTTGTGGACAATTAGAACAAGCAGAAAAATTTTGCACGATACAGCTTCTCTGCAGTATTCCGAACCCTCTAATGAAAAACACAAGGTGGATGGTTGTTCGGTGGGGTGCCAAGTGGCTTCTGAGTACTTATCAGTTGAAACTGGCCACATCAGAGCCTACATTTCCGGAACCTGGTCTTATCACTTAACTGGCGCGTAAGAGCCACAGGAACAAGAAGCAGAAGTATTAATGTGTAACCAAGTTATTTTATTTGGAGAAGTGAGAAGTGTGTAAAAAGCACTTTATGCAGGAAAAGTCAAATAGTACATTTTTGAATCACAATCGCAATGCGAGGGTTTTCATACGAAACGGATGTAATTGAGGTAGTATGTTGAATACTTGTTCCGTAAGGCGAGCTGTGAGTCATAGGTACTTTTGAGGTGCTTCTGACACTTCTTGCAGTGCCAATTTATCTTGCGGCAGGTATGGCATCCCTTTACTTTCTTCAGTTCCTCCCAGAAGCTACCGACGCAGGTGTTACAGGTATTAGGCCAGGATGACAATTTGGTGGGCGCCAGCAGAGGGCACTTGCCGCAAGCCGAGTCTCCAGCTAATCGAAGCGTCCAGGAATCAGTACTATTCAGGCCTGACTCGACGATCCAGTTGATGACGGTGACGACACTGGAGTTGGCAGCCTTCGGTATGCTGATGGAGTACAATGGGTTGGCGGTAACGGCAACGCTTAAGACGAGAAGACCAGCAAGAACGGCCTGCATTGTTGATGAAGACTGACTTGGTGCCTAACCAGGCTTTACCTTTTATAGTTAACATGCAAGAAACGTTAAGTGAATTATTAGTCACTGTCAATGGCCTTTATTAGATTTAGAATGATTTGTGCTTGTTTTTGAGACACTGGTACGCACCAATAGGACTTCAACAAATGCATAACGAGATCAGTGCTGAAGTGCATAACACACGAGAGCCAAGTTATAGAAACAGGCACCATTGTGCTCCGCAAGGCATAATTTACATATGTTGCGAAACCGTAATTGGAAAGAGACTCGAAAACACTTCAAAATTACAATAAAAACACGAAAAGCCACGAGTGCCAGGTGGCCAATTTTACAGACAAATGCGTAGTCCTGTTGTGGGACGATGTAGGGGACAAATGGAAAGCTAGGCATTGATAACCTATTACTACCTGAATGAGGTCCTGATTACGAGTCTGAGCAGCAGTGCTGGACTGTGATCTCACCATTTAATTAGTCCAAAGTTTCTTTTTGTGACCATGAAAACAAATCGACACGATCGCACACGTCATGCATCCCGACGCCACTGAAGACAGTGGATGATTCCATAGCAAATTATATTATCGATCCATCAAAACCATGGCGAATGCGACCTGCATTCATCATGAGACTAGAAAATTCAGAATTAGAATTGTCAACATTAGAAGTACAAACACTCACTCATAGTAACGTAAGCGCTTCTCCCACTTCGGCCACAGTGGCAAGTCGAAACTTGATCTAGCGTAGATTATTAATTTATGTGTGGCGTTTCTACGACGCGGGCCTGCTAAGCGACCAATAAGGTCATTGGACGGAGTTATTTTTTGAATGTCAGTAGTACAGCGGATAAAGATGCTTGTGATTCAGCTGCATGGCTAAGATATTTTGAACTTGCTAAATTTACTTAAAGACTACGCCATCTATTTAAAGCAGGGGTATTTTCTAGTAAAGGCGATGATTTACATGGAGCAAGTCATCTCCACATTTTCCACTGAGAACAATATTGTTTGTACAGATTTGCGACAATCCCTCAATTATGCAACAGCCTTTTCTTGCAAAAACTGGTTAGCACTCTAAGCTGAACGTTTTGTTGTTCACATAAATTAATTTAACAAAAGTCAACTGTGCCAGAGTTTATTAAGTTAGCATGCAGGACCGTTTATAGCGCCAAACAGCTAGTTAAGGACAACTTTAATTGCACCACACGCAGTAACTTATAGTCTTGACAAAAGGCACAACATCTGATAATAGTTACCTCACACAAATTTGCCCGGTTAACAAAGCGAGTCGAAGCAACCCCATAATTTTGGGTGAACATGGAGTTTTTTTTTAAAAAAAATTGTGCAAGTAAGGACGGTTGATCTCTCGAAGAAATCTCCAAATGAAATGTCGGGTAGGAGGGCGGTGCTATTAACTTTCGACCTTTAAGCCCGTGTGAACACTCCCTTTTTATCGGTGACTAAGCTGGGTTGCAAATCAAATATATGAAGTTTGAAGTACATCATTTTTTGTACTTACAACAACTTTTAGTCTTTGAATTTGCGAGAATTTGACAGGACAATTTTTAAGGATGTGAATCCGCTCGTTTCCTGGAGTGACCACGCCAGGCATACCCAAGTATTGTTGGGACCTCGTATTTTTTCTTTACCGCATTCATAAACATTCATAGGAAACATCGCCTCATACAGTAATCGCAAAATGTAATTGGTGTTCATATGTTACAAAATAAGCGATTGGTCAACCCATCTGTAAATACAAGACTAACGTTTGCTCAAAACAGACTTGCCAGGAAGCACAAATAAACAGTGCTTCAGTGTGCATGAAGCTGTGATGTTTTGTGCGTTAGGAAAAGTTCCCATGCTGTGTTGTTTGTGGACAATGCAAACGGGGTTGTTCCAGGAAGTTACAGACAGAGCGGCCTCCTTAAAATCATTAAGGTGCCTCCACTTTAGCTTAAAGTGGTGTGTCATGGTGATTTAGATGCTAAATTCCAGGAAAATCAGCAACCCTTTTCATAAAAATTGTGAATTACAAGTAGTGAAAATCATGGACTTAAATTAGAGATTCTCAGGGTGTCTCCATTTCAGAGTTTTCTAATTATCTTTCTGAGTGGGACTGCTGATTCATTAGCCATACCACTACAGTAGAAAACATTTAAACCGACCTTGCAAAGATTGCACCAACGGTTGCAATTCTTTAGGATTCAACTATTAGTGGATTGTGTGAATCAACTCCGATCAATTGGATGAGTGGGCTGCGATGAACGCAGACTTCTTCTGCTTCACAATTCGTGCCAAAGGACTAGCAGTGTGGGTAGCCACAGCCAAGCCACAATTAGTGCTTCACTTCTGGAAAGTGTCTAGTTTCACCAGCAAACGTCGGTGTGAGTTTACTGCCGCGAATCAGGTTCGCAGCAATGTGCGTGCAAGACACACGCCACAAAACTTCCGTCTTCATGGTCACTTTAAATAAGCTACACTGGCAGGTCTGAAGAGTTAGCGCTAATTCACAAAACACGCAAATCCTGTGGTCTGCGTGAAGTCGATCTTCGTTAAATGACATTCGTTTAAATAAGCCAGATTTTTCCGTGTTACATCAAGTGAGATAATTTGATTTGCTATGGTAGAAATTGTGTTATCGTGTTAGGACTGTTCTGCTACATTAAATCCAATGCGACTCACAACTGAATACCGCGAATTTTATCGACTGCTTGAACGCATAGAAATTACCCGCAGATATACATTAAACACAATGCTAGTGAGCAAGCACGCGACAATGGCTTAGTTCAAACATGAAAATGTTCTTCGACGAAACTCCGGTCTTTGGCACACATTAGAAGAGAGAAACAAGTTAATAATGTGTTTAACCGACTGTTCGCACCCACAAACGTGCGCAAACAGCCGCATGCACAACGTTGCGTGGAGGTGAATTATAGCCTGGCTATTCTCGAGATCAAACTGAGTATTTTAGTATGCGAACGATGGGAAATTAGCGTACACACACGTACACGCGCACCTACGCGAAGTCGCAGTAGCGCGGTGGAAAGAGAGCAGCTGACTCGTTGTTAGCGCGGGCATGTGTACAAACAAGCGTGGCCCTGCCCCCCTTCCACCCCCTCCACCGCGCCCACTCAACCCGCGCGCCCATTGGAACCATATTTCATCGCCCGGAGTTGAGCGTGCGCGCGCCGCGCCTTTAGAGGGGAGGGGAGGGCGAGGGTAGGGGAGAGGGACCTGCGGGGATATGCATAATTAGATGCGTGCACATCCACCGGAAGCCGGTCGCGCGATTTGGGGGAGGGGAGGGGCGGGGGCAGGACGCAGAGCCCAGAGTGGACATAAATCAAGCTGCGCGTGTGCATTTGGCGTGCTTTCCGCTCACGCGCTGCGCCCAGGGAGAGGCCGAGGTGCGCTTCATCCTACTTTTCTCTCTCGCGCACATTTCGTTGGCCGGCGAGAACTTGCGCACCACCAGGCACACTTTGACGCGTGCTGTGTGCGGTGCGTGTGTGACTAACCCCAATCCCATCTCGGTGCGCGCATCTACGCGAGGGACATGCTCTATGCGGAAATTTGGCCTTGAGGAGTAAAAAAGTCACCGTAATAATGTCGACTGGTTTTATCGTTTGGTCAGTAATTTCGACAGAACATAATATTTTCATCTTTTTACTTTCGATTCATATTTCAAGTATTTAATCGCAATAATTTGCTTACACATATCTGTAAAAGCACTTGGAAGAACTCACAGGACTGATGTGAGTCACCTGAGTCAGATAAGTTAACAATAAATGCCATAGCAGTCTGCTAAAATATTCGCTAGCTTTATGGTAATTTTAAAAGAGGAACTTTCCAAATGGTGGTCAAATATCACAAGCATGGTTGACACGTCCCTTCTCATCACAAAATCATTTACCTAACATTTCAGGTGTTGTTGAACTTCCCACGGACCATGCTGTCACCAGCGCGAAAGGAACACTTGCTCTTCGGGTCAAGATAAACAATTGGACCTTGCTGCCTGAACACGTTGTCTTCAAAGCTTTGTACTACCGTACGCAGGAATCACACAGTGGATTACAGCCGATTACCATACAATTGCATTCAAGAATCCAAGTAAATTTGGATTTTTTTTATTAAATACGGTGTTCTTACTGTACACCTACTCTAACCGGCACGCTTATCAACTAGCCTAATTTTATTGTGGTATAAAGCCGTGGCAATACAGTTTAATCGAATTAGTACTATGATAATGTACTAAGCATATTGACAGGCAAATAGTAATGCAACGGAGGAGTAGGATCCGGGGGTATTTTTATTTCGGTCCCGGGGCGAAAGTATTTTTGCTCGGAGACTCTCGTGTAACCACACTTGAGCATTTGTGCACACAACTTTTGGTAGGCGGATGCAATCCAAGGTGAGGATGAAGTGATTGCTCGGTGATTTCCACAAAGACATCAGTCGATGGGCCACTTTGAAATGGAGTGAGGTGACACGTGCGCGCTTCAGGAAGGCGCACTCACACACATGCGCACGCTTCGAGTCCCTCAAATGGGTCAGTTTCACGGCGTTTTGAGGGCCCGGAAGAAGGGCCACCTTCTCAGTACGCCTCTGAAACAAATGGCATGTGGACAAATAGATTAATAGTTAAGCCTTGATAACCATGCCCAAACATCCCACTTACCTACGTGTCGCCTAAAGTTAAGGCAGTGTATGGATAGGAAATAAAAGCAGTCCATCTAACATCTTAGAGTTACTTAGGCTTAATAAATCACAGTTTGTTAAATCTGATTTACTATTTCTTCCTTTAGCCAGTCTATTCGTTAAATAGTGAAGCATTTGGGAAGGCAAAGGTACTTGTCACCTGTGAATTTACCCAAGGAGTGTAATTCGTGTCCAGTATCTACTCTAATATCTTGGCCTGCTTCCAGTGGGTTCTGAAAAGTAGCCTTTCAAAACTACGCATTGTCTCTTTTTTTTAACAGTCGGTTGATAACCTGAAGGTACCCATTTTATTAATCATAACTTATTTAGACTCTAAAAATTGCTGTTTACATCTCGTCTTATTTTCAATATAAGGTGGGTTGGAATTCAATTACTACGCATGCTGTGGTTCTGACGTTAGTCCCCACCCAAAATTTGTGTTGATTCTCTTAATCTGGCAAATAACAGTGAGATATGACTTCTCCTACACTCACAGATCTGAAAACCATTGACTCGCTAAACGATTCTTGCACATGGGATAGTTGGTATCTTAATTTCTGATTTCTGATTTGTTACATGATTCATTAACAGGTCAAATAATTAAATTCCTTGCTGTAATCCCACTTCCTCTGGCTCTCTAAAAATGTTAATAATGTAATGCCAATGGAGCTCCATCGAATACCGACATCGGCCTTGGACAAGGGTTGATTACTGGCGCTGTTACGCACGTGATGCACCTGCATTGTAAGAACTCTCAACGACGAGGTAGTCGGCGATGGAAGTTACAGCTGCCTGCGCTTGAATTTATAATTGAATTTGAGAGGTGCAGCTCAGCGAGGTTAGCCTCGACTGTACAAAGTGTCATTGTGTGAATCAATGCCATGTATGCCCCAGGACAGAAATTGGTACAAGTTGCTTTTAACCCATCTTTAACTCCCTGGGGCTTCCACTTGCGATAAAGTTGATTTAAAAAAACAGTTTGCACCATCCACAGCCCCACATGCTGTTCATTTTTGACAAACACAGTTTTGAAAGTTTTCCCGCATACCCAATATCAGAGCTAATTCCCACACTTCTTACAACTTGCAGCCGCTGAGATGCACGGTTGGTCGCATTTCCTCACTTTCTCTCCATTGATGCAATCGCCATTTCTCCGTTGCTACAGCGAATCATGCCTTAATAGAGTTGACCTTGACAGTTAAACTGATCAAGGATCGACTCCTAAACTTCCATGTATAGAAATGCGACCCGAAAGAGTTGCCTTTCAGAGAAGAAATCAATCTAAATATCTATTAATTGACTTAAGCAACGTAAAGTTGACATGGCATTGCGATCGTAGGTCTGAATTTCAGTTACAGGGACTTAAAGGTAGCGCACAATCAACTTGTGCGAACTTCAATCTGTTGGTGTAGTGCACCATTTTGGGACTCGCCTGTGCAGCATATGAGGCGAGAAATGGAAGAGTGTGTAGTAGCTTGGGTTTTAGTGCTACCTTACAACCCTCTAGTAAACAGCCCGTAGCAGCCCGAGAAGGGAATGAAAAGAGACGACAGAGAACACAACCGTTTATTGGGGGATGACAGGAGTCTGATAACAGTGACCAGTGAAAAGGGGGTGAGTCATTGTCGCCGTCAGGTCAGTAAACAGAGCTCACTCAGACGCGATAGATGTTAATCCGCTACAAGTGTGCTCCAGCATGCCTGCGAATGACATGGTGCTTTAGTGCGCATGCTTCAGGAAACTCCGATGATGCCAACTCCCCGACAGATTGGTGGTAACCTTACAGCAAATAGATCATACCGCCACGCCAAACTATGACACATACCCTAAGTATTTCAGTCAAGTGGAGATATTAAAGTGTCTTGTACGCGTAACATTAGCCATGTCGATGGTGTAATACTTGTGAGTGAGCATTTGCAAGTGACAAGAGGCAGCTCACTGGAACTGAGTGCAACCACATTATTTAGAAGTTCGTGGGAAAATTGGTTAGTTCAAGAAGATTCACGTAGGTGTCACCGGATGTACTGCGTTTGTCCTTTCCACTTGGATATCATGGAAATCAGAGCCAGCGAAGTCCCTAAATGCAGCGCCACCCGGCTGTGCGAACAAACGTGATAGAAGCAGGTTACATGTTTGGCTTTTCATTTACATTGTATCCTTTCCTTGTGTCAAAGCAGGTTCTCCAAGTAGCTCCCTATTCTGGCAGCACTGATCCCTTTTATAACCAAAGAAGGATCGAAGTCTTTAGAACGATATAGGCAACCCGCGGACATGATGAGATTTGAATTGCAGTACCTTGACATTGTAATTTATCCAACATTAGTCTAAGGATAAAGTTTTTTAGGTGTTCGACTGATTAAAAGCATTATGAATTATTTCCTGGGAGAAGATATGTTGAACTAATAACCAATGCAACAATGATAAGAAGCCGTGAAATCTCATTTATATAAAATGGCAATATTTTGATAATTTGCAGGTTCATGGCGAGGACTCGGAACATGTTGATCTCGAAATGCAGGACACGAGTTGACGGTGACACGGACTGAGACAAACTCCCCCTATTATGGAGTGCAGTGTCTATACGAAATAGCAACTCTTCAGTTATAATTTTGGCCATTCACTGGGAACAGACCTTCTTCCAGCAGTGCCATCAAAACTTGCGAAAAACACAAGGATACACTCTGGAGGCTGTTTGTTGGTGCATATCCCACATGACTGAGTAAACTTGCGAGTGATATGAATCAGACAGAAGTGCACTTCACAAACAGCAAATCTGCCGGTTCTATCTAGACTGGGAGCATCAAAGATTTGCCAATTCCTCAATAACGCGATTGGCTTGAATATAGAATGAACCTGTGGCGTGAGCGAACACAAATTAGTCAATTTACGTGGATGCAGTTCACGTAGCTACGTTCGTTCAGGGATCGATGTTAAGCGATCCTGTATAAACTGACAACCTATTACTTGGTGTAATCATGCAATTGCTGTAACAATAAATCGTTTGAACTAGCCCTTAGCAGCAGTCTTCTCTCTTGGTTGGGCCTTTTGACTACGTGAACTGTCTGTCCCGGTGTGGTTCTCAAACCACACCGATGGTTTCTAAAAAGCACTTGGATTTGGTGCCAACAGAACTCTCAGATGATTTAGCGGTGATAGTGGTAGGCATTGACTGAAAATATCGGAGAACCTCAGTCAGGCCACTTTGACATCAATAGTCACGCATTCATGATCTGGGAATTACTTCGGTACTTAAATATACGAAGCTACATGATCAGCATTTATCGGAAGCTCTTGTAGTGAGTCGCGTTGATTCACGTCCAATAACCCGGTCGTCGCAGCCTCACACACACGAACCCCTTTTCACGGCATGTCCGGCAGTCACGCGGATCGCCTGCTCATTCACCCCTCTGCGTGTACTGCTATCCCCGCTCTATTGATGTGACCATTCAGACTTCTGTATTTTTACTAGTCCATTCAACTGTATCAGTCAACACAACGCAGCCAGGTTGAGCTGTCTAGTAAACGGTTGTGCCTTGTCCTCTGCGGTCTTCTCCGTCTTAGCGTGTACTCAGGGTAGCGTAGTCGGGCCAGATTCGACGCAGTGGCCCCGGCATGGTTCAAAACCACATGCCGGGGTCCACAACACTCCACTTACTAACAGCAGAAATGTGTGTTAGCAACGTGTTATACAATGAAGTAATTGTCAACACATAACAGCTTTGGAAATTGGAATTTTGCATCAGGATCAGATGAATACCTTACAGTTGTTGTGCGTTTTATGACGCAGTATTCTACACGGTAGCACGAAGATCTTTCAAATTATTTGGAGGTTTACACAAAATTGTTGGCTAAATCCGAATTTCTATTGTGAAAATATGAATAGTGAATAGAG